TCGCAGCACTATCTGCTAAATAGTGGCATTGGTGTTGGCCAGTATAAAACAATCCCCAAGGTGCCTGCTGTGTTGCTAAAGATACCTCACTTTGCCCAACCTCAGTTTTCTGGTGTGCTCTGTGCGACAGTTTATGGTTCTGTTTCTATTAATGTGTACTCAATTTTGCAACAATAAACAGGCAGCCCTACTCTCCTTCTATCGCAACACACAGGCATATTGTTTTAAAGTAGTTAGTGACATTTGGTTTCTTCAGAAAACATTTTTTGTATGCTTATTATATAGACTGTTTTGGGATTATTTTTCTGTTTTGAAGGGGAGGGAGTTCGAAATATCTCTTTCGAAAGATAACCAATTTTGGCTCTTTTGTTGTTTAAAATTCAAAAGTTGTAGTCATTGGCCATGGATTAAGTGGTTTGTGGTTTGATTACATTCTAGAAGATAAGTATTAGCTTAGCTGTATTGAGAGGCATTATAGCAGGTGCTAAAATTGCAGGCTGTGGGGCTGGGTTATGGGGTACAATTCCCACTTTCCCCCACTTATTGGCTGTACAACCTTGGGCAAGTCCTTAACTCTGAACTTCAGTTTCATCATAAAAAAATGAAAATCATAAATATAGTAATTAGGAGAATTAAGAGACTTAATACATGAAAAGTGCTTAGAATAGTGCCAGACACATAGTAAGTGCTACATAAATTATTAGGAGAACTAAATTGAAAGGCTTTTATATTCATATAAAAAAATTTTAAATGGTTCATTCTAATTAGAAGGGGAAAGAGGAGTGATTCTCCAATACAAGGTTTCTGTGGCTAAAATGTAAGTTTTGCTGTGATAAATGTGCAGTTTTATATCAGAGTGTGGCTAACATTTATTGAGCACCCACTATTTTCCAATTACTGTGCTAAGGAGTTTGCATATTTATTCTTTTTTTAAAAAAATATGTCTCCATTGATTTCAGAGAGAGAAAGAGAGAGAGAGAAAGAAACATCAATGATGAGAGAGTCATTGATCTGCTGCCTTCTGCATGCCCCCTACTGGGGATCGAGCCCGAAACCCAGGCATGTGCCCTATCTGGGAATCGAACCAAGATCTCCTAACTGAGATAGCCACTGAGCCATGCTGGCCAGGCTGCATATTTTATTTAATTCTCACATCAACCTTATGAGGTAGATACTATTATTCCCATTTTACAGATGAGAAAACTGAGGTTAAAAGTAAGTAAACTTCTGATGGTCCAAGAGCTAGTTTATAATGTAATGCTTCAAGGTTGGTGCCTTTAACCACTACTTATAATGCCCCCCAAATATATTTGCAACTCTCAAAATATAGGTTGTTGGTTGAGTGCTATGTTTTACTCAGAATGAGGAAACCTCAGGGCCTTAAAGAGGTTTTCTCCTCCTAAATGTTGATAGCTGTTTGTGGCTCAGTATTATCCACACCTAGTAGGAAGACTATTTGTACTTTCCCCACACCAAAAAAAGCAAATATTTCTCTAACTCATTTCCTTTATGAGGGATAAATCCTGACTTGTGGAATCATAACTGCAAATAGTAAATTATGTTTGGGGTGAAGCAGCCTGGCAAAGAGGAACACTGGCCCAGCCTCCTGGTTGTTCCTGGTTTGCCATCGCGTTTGCCCCCAGATGCCCACTGTTGTGCTTTCCAGTAGCAAAGAAAATTTGCTCATCTCCATTGCCTGCAAGCACTGGATTTCCTGCAACTGCCTCATTTTATCCTTAATTAGCCTCTCTCATATTATATACGACTTGCAAGACACTTCTGCTACACACTCAGAAGTTTGACTTTGAATCTTCAAATAAGATTATTCGGCAGACATAAGTAGGCCATTTCCATATCCCTTTGGCAGTCGGCAGCATTTGCTGTTATGTTCCTCTGCATGTGGTGAGATAGAGCTACGTCTGATACCTCCTGTGAATGGCAGTGCCAGCCTATTATGAGATTTCTCATCTCTGAATTCCTGCAGGATTCGCAGTCTTAACACACTGGCTCGTTTTCAAGCAGTTTCATGTGTGAAGAGGCAGGAGCACCAGTGTTTCTCCTTGAGAATCTGACTCAGGGTTGGGCAGCAGTGAGCTTAAAAAAGAAAGGAATGGAGAGGAACAAGGGGGAAAGGTGTTATGTCTGCCTTACCTCCCAAATTAGATTGTGGGCTTCTCAGCCCAGAGGTCAAATCTGTTTTTCCGATCGCCTTTAATGCTTATTAGCGTATTAGGCAAACAGGGAGTATGCAGTATATGCTTATTGCCTGAAGGCCTAGGTTTTACTTTAATTAATAGATTATGCCAAAAATATACCATTTCCATTCACTTGAACTTAATGCAACCCAAAGGAAGTAAAGTTTTCTGCAAATGTTATTGAAATATTATTTACATTGAATAGAAGGTATCTCTAATTGGTTTTAGGTTGGTCACTCCCAGAACCTNTTGAACTTAATGCAACCCAAAGGAAGTAAAGTTTTCTGCAAATGTTATTGGTCACTCCCAGAACCGTAATCCTCATTACAGAGGACAAACCTCTGCTCTGGCGGTGCAGTGAAGATGGTTATGATAATAGAAGTGTATGTATTTGTAAAGCATAGGTGGTGTTCTGAGGGAAGTACTAAAACTGAAATCCTGTAAATGACTAAAATGCTGCAGCGACTAAAAGCTCGTGCTGGCCAGGAGCACTCGCCTTTGGCCCCAAGAAGGAGCCGGCGGCCCAGTGACTAGGACTGGGAGGTGTGCACTGCGGCACTCTTGTGCCTCTGTCGGAAATCAGTATACTCTGTCACTTGTGGATCTAGTTCTGGACCTTTATTCTGTTCCATCGAGCTATATCTTTTGCCTTTACTGTGCTGTGTTGATAACAATAGCTTTATAGTAAGATTTAAAATCAGGTTAGGCCCTTCAGCTTTGTACTTCTTAAAAGTATTTGGATTGTTCTAGAACCTTAGCTTTTCCATATCCATTTTAGAATCAGCTTAATTTTACAAAGACAAACTGCTAGAATAATGATGGGGAGTGCATTAAATCTATAGATTAATTTGGGAAGATTGGCCATCTTAACATTGAATCTTCCACTCCATGACCATGGACTATCTTTTCATTTATTATTTTTTTCTCAGTCAACTTTCACAGTTGTAAGTGTAGAGGACTTAGTTGTCTTTCGCTGGGCTTATTTTTAGCTATTTGTTTTATTGGCATTACTGTAAATGGAATTTATTTTCTTTTCTGTTTTCTGCTGGCATATAAGCATCCTTTTTTGTATTAACCTTTTATCTCACAAACTTATTATTTATTATTTCTAGTTCTTATGTAAATTCCCTAGGATTTTCTATGTATAAGTAATATTATCTGCAAATGGAGGTAGTTTTACTTCTCTTTTGATATTTGTGCCTCTGGTTTTTTTTTTTTCTTTTATATCTTATTTCAAAGCTCAGGACCTCCAGAACAGAGGTCCTTTTGAATAGAAATGCTGAAAGCAGGCACCCTTGCTTTGATCTCAGGGGAAAACAATTTTGTCTTTCACCATTAACTATGATGTTAGTGGCTGAATTTTTTTTATCCTTACCCAGGGATATGTTTATTGATTTGAGAGAGAGGAAGGAGCGAGGAGAGAGAGGGAAATATCGGTTGCCTCCTATACCCACCCTGACCAGGGATCGAACCCACAACCTATTGTTGTACTTGGCGATGCTCTAACCAGCTGAGCCACCCAGGCAGGGCAGTGGTTGAATTTTTTATCGATGCATTTTGCAAGGTTGACAAAGCTGGTTTGCTTAGCATTTTTCATTAATAGATATCTTAGGGTCATCATGACTCTTTTTCTCTCCTACTGTACATCTAATCTACCAGCAAATCCTTTTGGTTGTACTTGCAAAATATATCCTGAATCTGACAGCTTCTGACCAACTCCACCACTTTCATCTTCGTATAGGCTATGTACACCTCTCCTCAACTCCTGAAATTGTCTCCTGACTGGGCTCTCTGGTTCCACCAGTCCATGCTCCACATAGTAACATATAGTGTGTGAGAGTGTGTATATTTCAATTTGATTATTGAATGTTTTCCCCACTAGAATTAGAGTAGGAACTTGGTCTGTTTTGTTCACTGCTGTCTTCCCTATCAGATAAGGGTGGCCAGGGCAGATGTCTTTGAGGAGAGGGAATTTGAGCTAAGAATAATGAAGAGGAGCCAGCAATGCAAAAGTCTAGGAGTGCACTCCAGGCAAAGGGAACAGCTAAGTGGAAGGGGACCCTACAGTGGAAAAGAGCTTGTCATGTTTAGGGAACTTTTCCTGCACTGGGGGACAATAAGAAGCTCCGTATGTCTGGAATACAGCAAATTATGAAAAGAGTGGTACAAGATAGAGTGGGCGAGAGAGATAGGGACAGATTATTATGTAGAGTTTTGCCTGACCCAGATGCAATAGAAAAAGTGTTGGGAAGCTCTAGATGACACCACAGGCAACTACTCAGTAACTACTAGTGGCACTCAGCTATTTAAAATTTAATTAACTAAAAGTAAATAAAATAAAACATTCAGTTTCTCAATCATACTAGCCACATTGCAAGTGTTTAGTAGCCACATGTGGATAATGGCTGCCTACTGAATAGCACAGCACAGCACAGCTAGAGAACTTTCCATCACAGAAAATTCTGTTGGACACTGCTGCTAAAGGAAAGCCAATCAAAGGAGAAATAATTCTTAGTTTGCTTAGCTTCTCTGTGATTTTCTCTTAACCTTAGAATCACTATTTTTCTATTTAAATGGAAATATATGTGGCACCTAGAAAATTAGCATGTGGACTGTTCCATATGCAAATGCTCGCATGGATGATTTTTACCTGTGACAGAAAAGATGGGAGAGACTGGTAAATCACAGCATTCTTAACCTCATTATAAATACATTGCAAATGTAAAAATGCAAAGTGCAGAAGTCGTAAATGTGAAAGTGGCTTTCAATTTGTTTTAATAGGTGTTTTCTGTGTTTGTAACCTAGGGATCTTGCTGCAAGAAACTGCCTGGTAGGTGAAAATAATGTTCTGAAAATCAGTGACTTTGGAATGTCTCGTCAGGAGGATGGTGGAGTGTATTCATCTTCTGGCTTAAAGCAGATTCCCATTAAATGGACAGCACCAGAAGCTCTTAATTATGGTAAGACTGGACTCTTTCTTTTTGGTGTTAAAAAATGGACTCTATCAGAACAAAACACTCAAAGCGAAGTTAGAAGATACAGCAGAGCCCAACTTCGAATGAGGTATAAAATGTTCATACTTTGCACTTAAACATGAGTACCAACCTTAATTCATTGACCTTATTGATCAGATTACTGTATGTAAGACTGCTAGATTTGAAAGATGGATATACTTACAAGCATTTTTAAATCTGAGAATTCCTTTTTATCTGAAAAATTATTTTAAAAAAATTTTAATAATTAAATTTATTGTGGTGAAGTTGTTTAACAAGATTATATGTTTCAAGCGTACAGTTTTATACTACATCATCTGTGTAATGCATTGTGTGTTCACCACCCAAAATCAAGTCTCCTTCCAACACCATATATTTGACCCCTTTTACCCTTTCACCACTTCCCCTTCTGGTAACCACCATACTGTTGTGTGTTGTCTGGGTCTATGAGTTTGTTTGTTTCACTTGTTCATTTGTTACTTTCTGTATTATATCCCACATATGAGCAAAGTCATATAGTTCTTGTTCTTTTTCCCTCTGACTTTTTTCACTTAGCATGATACTCTCAAGATCCATTTATATTGTCAAAAAGGCTTTTTATGGTTGAATAGTATTCCATTGTATATGTGGACTACATCTTCTTTAATCATCCATCAAAGGACACTTAGGTTGTTTCCATGTCTTGGCTACTGTGAATAATGCTGCAGTGAACATAGGGGTACATATGTCTTTACAAATAAATGTTTTTAAATTTGGGGGTAGATACCCATAAGAGGGATTGCTGGGTCATATGCTAGCTCTGTTAATTTTTTGAGGAACCTTTATGCTGTTTTCCATAGAGGTTGTACCAGTTTGCTTTCCCACCAGCAATGAATGAGGGTTCCTTTTTCTCCACAACCTCTCCAAAACTGTTATTACTTGTCCTGTTGATAATAGCCATTCTAACAGGTGTGAGGTGGTATCTCATGGTGGTTTTTATTTGCATTTCCCTATAGCTAGTGAATTCAAGCATCTTTTTATATATCTGTTGGCCATGTGTATGTCTTCTTAGGAAAAGTATCTTTTCAGGTCCTCTGCCCATTTATTAATTGGATTTTTTGTTTTTTTTGTTGTTCTTGAGTTCTTTATATATTTTGGATATTAGCTCCTTATCAGAGGTATCATTTCCCAATATCTACTCCTATTTAGTTGGTTGCCTTTTTGTTGATGGTTTCTTCAGTTGTGCAGAAGATTGTTGGTTAGATATAGTCCCATTCATTTATTTTTGCTTTTACCTCCCTTACCTTTGGGGTCAAATTCACAAAACCCTCTCTGAGACTAAGGTTAGTATATATGTTTTCTTCTGTATATTCTATTGTTTTAGGTCTTACATATAAGTTTTTAATCCATTTTGAGTTAATTTTTGTGTATGGCATCAGATAACAGTCTAGTTTCATTTTTTTGCATGTGGCTTTCCAGTTTTCCCAAAATCATTTATTGAAGAAGCTTTCCTTTCTCCATTGTATGTTTTTGGCTCCTTTGTTGAAAATTAGTTGTCTATTTTTGTGTGTTTTTTTTTTCTGGGCTCTCAATTCTGTTCCATTGGTCTATGTGTCTCTTTTTCTGCCAATACCATACTATTTTGATTATTGTAGCTTTGTAGTATAACTTGAAGTCAGGGAGTGTTGATACATTTGGTTTTGATCTATTTTTCTCAGTAATACTTTGGCTATTCTGGGTATTTTGTGGTTCCATACAACTTGATTTTTTTGTTCTATTTCTTTTTTAAATGCCATTGAAATTTTGATGGGGATCACATTGAATCTGTATATTGCTTTAGGTAATACGGCCATTTTAACTATGTTGATTCTTCCAATCCATGACCACAAAATATCTTTCCACTTCTTTGTGTTTTCTTCAATCTCTGTCAACAATGTCTTATGGGGCTTTTTGCTAAGTTTATTTCTTGGTATTTTATCCTTTTGGTTGCAATTGGGACTGTTTTCTTCATTTTCTGATATTTCATTGTTAGTATATATAGACAATGAATTTTTGTACATTGATTTTTGTATCCTTAACTTTCTATATTTGTTTATTGTTTCTAATAGTCTTCTGGTGGAGTCTTTAGGGTTTTTCTTATACAGGATCATGTCATCTGTAAAATGTGACACTTTTACTTCTTCCTTTCCAATGTGGATTATTTCTTTCTCTTGCTTTATTGCTCTGGCGGGCCTCCAGTACTATGTTGAATAACAGTGGTGAGAGTGGGCAGCATTGTCTTGTTCCTGATCCTAGCTTAAGAGCTTTTAATTTTTCAGCATTGAGTATAATATGAGGATTTATCATATGTAGCCTTTAGTATGTTGAAGTACTTTCCTTCTATACCCATTTTATTATGTGTTTTAATCATAAATGGATATTGCATCTTGTCAAATGCTTTTTTGGCATCTGTTGATATGATAGATGAGATTGGGTGGATTTGCACACATGTGGCTTTGTATTTTCCCCCCTGGTGATTGTAGCTGCTTGACTGCAGCCACCACCCTTTGCTCTGCTTCTCCACTCCTGTCCCTGGGCTCAGCCTCAATGTGCACTGGCCACTCAGGTCAGAATGCTGCCTCTGCCCCTCCAGTCTGCTGGCTGGGGATGGCAACCCTATCCTCCACTGCTACAGAATTTCCTGGGGCTTCAGAGTGCAACTACAGCTCTCCTCTTTGTCCTTCCCCCTTCCTGACTCCCGTCCTTACTTGAATATACTCACCTTTAGATGTGTCAATATGCAGATCTCTCAGATGTGTTTGTGTGTTGAGCGGGGAGTCCTTGGTTGAATTATAGTTGTCCAAATTGTAACTTTAAGGGGAGAGACCAAGAGGTTATCTCACTCTGCCATGATGCTGATGTCACTATCTGATTTTTATGAGTCACATTATACCCAGAGTAAAAGTGTTGCTGTGGCTTTGGACCATTTCATTTGAATTTCTTATAAGTGGTCCAATAACCTCATCTAAAGTTAGGTTCCTAAAATATTAAAGCAATCAATTCTGTAGTTTCTCACTCTGAAAACTGACATGGTTTCTTAGCATCTCAGTCTCTGGAACTTATATAAATCTTGTGGAAAGAGAGAGATGGGAGTTACATTTTAAAACAGCAGGGATTTTTTAACTTGAATTTTTATGTGTCATTGTAATTGGAAATAAATATAGCTTGCATTATCTGTGGTTGGCATGAAATAAATGGGCCATAACAAGATGGGTAGCAGCTCAAGAATTTTGAAAGAAAAAGATTGTGCTTTGAGTGAAATTATAAATTGCATTTTCATTAAGGGAAGCAGTATATGAGCCATGAGTTGGTGAATGGGTATAGTATGTTTTGAATTAAAACAAAAAATTACTTCATGAAAAATAAGACATTTATAAATGTCTGAATCTAATGCCTAAAGACAAATAAAACCTTTTTTTTAAATTGAAGTAAATTCATCTAACAAAATTAACCATTTGAAAGTGAATAATTCAGTGGCACTTAGTACAATTTACACACAATGTTGTACAACCCCTACCTTCATCTAGTTCCAAAACATTGGCATCACTCCAAAATAAAACCTATTAAGAAGTTACTCCCCATTCCTCCCTCTCCCAGCCACTGGCAGCCACATACCTGCTTTTTCATGCTGTGGATTTACCTATTCTGCATATTTCATAGAAACGGAATCATACAATATGTGACCTTTGTGTGTGGCTTTTTTCACTTAGCATAATGTTTTCATTACTTCATTCCTTTTCATGGCTGATTAGTATTCCATTGTATGAGTTTACCACAGTTTGGTTATCTATTCATCCACTGATGTATATTTCAGCAGTTTTACCTGTTGGCTGTTGTGAATAGCACTGCTCTGAACATCTGTGTACATGGATTGATTTGAGTACCTGCTTTCAATTATTCTAAGTAAACACTAGGAAGCATATGGTAATTCTATGTTTAACTTTTTGAGGAACCAACAGATGTTTTCCAGATAAAGCTGCAGAATGTAATTGGTTTGTAACTTAGTTGGGGCAGATTCAGAAACCCGATCTGTTTTGTATTTTGTATACCAAGGATACTATGGAATAAACAAGTGTAGGTAGTTGTCATTATGAGAAATTGATGAAGCTGCTCTAGCTGCCAACAATGTTTTCGAATTTAACCTTCTACAGGTAGTAAGCCTCTCCCTTCGTTTGTCTTCCCATGTGCTGCCAAGAGAAGCTTCTGTGTGCTTCCTAGTGATCACAGACTAATTCTACTATTCCAGTATTCCTCACATCTAGAGAAAACAGCAGCTCTGCTATTTTCCATAATAAATCTTCTCTAGGGTGGTAGTGTTATTACTCTAAGGCTATATTCCTAAGAAGATCAATCCCAGGATAAATGGTAGGACTGTAACCCTTGCATTTACACAGAGGTTTTCTTTAGATAACAAAACATCATTAAGAACCTTCTTGTTCATTCTTACAGCATTCCTGTGAGGGAGCTGGAACTAGACTTGGGAGACCCTAAAGGCTTACCAGGAAAATTCAGATCTCTAGAATTGGTTCTTACACCTGTTTCCTAGATTTTCTACATTATATTGCCTTTACAACTCCTCTTACTTTTAAAACTCCTCTTACTTTTAAGCAATTACGCCAAGTAAAATTCTCTTTCAATAAAAGTATATTTTAGTTGAATTTCAAGCTGACAAGAGTATTTACAAATCAAAATTCTAATTCCAGATATCTCTAACAGCCAGGCCTAAAGCATTATATCTTTTTAAAAATATAGCTTTTATGCAATATTATATTAGTTTCAGGTGTGAAATAGTGATTTCACACTTTTATACCTTAGTGTGATCACCCCACTAAATTCTAGTAAGCATCTGTCACCATGCAACTTATCACAATATTATTTATTATATTACCATCCACCCACCCCCTCCCTTTTGATAACCATCAGTTTGATCTCTGTTTCTATGTGCCTGG